TCTCTTCAAGATCGGTTGTACAATACATAAATACATAAACTTTAATTATCCTTGACCATCATCATGCCTAAGAACGAAATATTAATCAAAGTTTAAACCACAGCCGTCAACTAGACATTACACTACAAGTCAGGTCACTCATCAGATTCTAGTTAATTAACTCAATTTTACGAAAGGTCTTCGGGAATTTTTTCATTTTTACAAGTATAAACTATACGAAAAGCATCGGATCAGTAAAACTTTTTGTAAAATTTTTTAAGTTCGTCGTGATAGTTGGTGGTGTTACACCATTTACGACTCCGTTAGCCTATCCTAGACTAGTCTTCGGAAGTTCCTTAGTCAAAGCGAAGCCATTAATTATTTAATAGATTTCAACACCCTACGCCACTTTGCTTAATACAGTTCATCATGAAACTGTTTTTCAAAATAAGGCGTTATAGGGGAAGTAACCAAAAAATGATCCAATTCGAGACTTTTTAAATAGCGTTCATCTTTCGGCTAAAAAGCACATCAGCAAAATTCTATTAAAATTGTGATCAGTAAGTTTAATACAAGAAAGGGAGGGACAGATAGGGTGTGTTTTAAACCTTCGGGGATGTTGCTTAATATATCTATGTAATATATGTGGCAGACGTACGCAGCTGATGGCTTTTTCTGCAAAATTTTGTATCAATACTTTCCCACCACACAAGGGTAGATCTTTACGACCAGTTTTGATCAAACGGACACGAAAAGTTTAAATGTTCGAATTCACTTTAATATTTTTTTAAAGCAGCACATAAGGTGAATCAGGCGGCTAAGTCGGACAGATATGTAACACGTAAAACATCTATCACCTGAACAATACGTTATTTAAGTCCGCATCCTCAAATTTCAATTTTACAAGGCTAATGCAAAGTTAATGTTAAAATCGAGTGTCGAGCGTGTCACTCTTTTGCTCGGTAAGTATGCACTCACTGCAAATACTTTACACGCACAGGTTATTGATAACGCTCCACCAGTTCTATGGTAATACCTTTATTTGAATTTTTCATTCATTGCTTACGTCTGACAACTCTTGTAAATATAGTTTAGTTTGATGTTAGTCTATTAACAATAAGTTACAATTTTACACACTATATAAATGCTTGCTTTTAATAGGATTGCCTTGTATAATTCAATGAAAACGTGTAACGTTTGTAGAAGAAGACAAAAGTGCGACAAAAGTTCTTAAAAAGATTTAATTAACGAGACTATAAATTAATCAATAAATACAATTTTCTTTTATAGCAAAAGAAGTGAGATGCAAAGATTTCTGAGCAATAAATGAGCACACGTGCAAGCGTACCAATATAATCAAAAGTACATTTGGTGTAAATTTAATAGTTTGTGTTATTTCAGATGTACATTTTTAAGCTGACAAATTTTGCATTATCTCTGGTGGTGGTTGCATAAACCTACAGTTTCTGCCATATAACGAATCTAACGAATTCACTACCTCAAGCAAAGACAGAAAGAACAAAACCACTTAAAATTATACAGACTTCGGTTACTTCTCTTGAGAATCCCATCGGAGAGAAAATGATAGCCATATGGAGGGCAGACACCCCAAGGAAAGAGAATAGAACGTATGTCCAACCATGCAGTAAAGAGAATTACATCGGTTCCCCAAAATCTTTGTATCACGCATTACAAGCAATGTAATAAAATTAGTATACCTTTGCTCGTTGTTGGTGAGTGAGTGCGGAAGCTTTTAAGATCAAAAAAAAAAAAAAAAAGGCTAAAACAACCGACCATTAACCACATGCTACGCAACCAAGCATAAATCTTATTGGCATTTATCACAATTGTCAAAACAATCTCCTTTATAATTGCATTCAGCTATGACAGGGTGAACAATGCAAACACATAGCAAAACAACCAACCAAACAACAAAACAAATAACCAAAATCCCGGTGCTCTTAAAGCAAACACGTTTATTATCCAATGATCCTGTTGTCATTAAAAAATTGCATTAGGATTTTTAAAAATAACATACTTTAAGGGTGAGATGCGGTCACTCTTACTTTTGCGGTTAGCCTGCATCGATATGTTTTGCAAATTTTTCGTTGTCTTTTTTCATTTTTTTGCTTTTTTCAGCTTCCGCTTTATAAGAGGATTATGAAATCGCTGTAAGAGATAGAAAAGATGATAGAAAATGAGAAAATATGAATGTTTTTTTGTGGGGCGAAATCTTCGAAAAAAAAAAAAACAAAATAGGGTAAGCAAAACTGCTTTATGCAATAATAATGACTTATAAGAGATATTTGCGCCGTTCGAAATAATAACAAGAGAACGCACATCGACATGGGGGAGAGACGGCTTAGTAATTATGGAAATTTATAGTTATAATTCAAATCATCCTTTCACCAATAGCTAAAAGTTATTTTTAAATAAGCTCAGATTATTTTTGCAGAATAAAAATCGAATTTTCTTATTCTGCGAAATAATATGCCAAAGGTGTTTGTGGAAGATAGCGATGGCCGGAGATCTAAACTGAATATATGTGTGGTGAAGGGCTAATCGTTTACGCACGACAAGAATTATGTTTTGTTTATCTTCTCCCCACTCCCGCAAGACGACCGAAAATATGTGAAGAATAGCATTTTAATATAAAACGTTCTTGCAAAGTGAACAACACGCCTGTGCTAGATAATTATATATACCTTTAATCCTAATCATCTGTCTAGCTACCTGAAAAGAAATTAGTTTACCCTGCAAGACATTTCTTGACATACTAATATATTCACCTTATCAGCTAATTTGCATTTTTTACTTGTTTCCGACCGATCAAAACTTGACACATAAAACGAGGTGCTCCGACACGCTTAAAATGTTGACGATGTGGCATTTGAGATGCGTGTATGATTACGACGTCGAAACCGAAGGCAAGGATGAAAAAAGCTCGCCATTTTCGGTCCCTTGTAAACGTTTTGTTCACTACAATGGCGTGATTTATCGCGAGTTCCTATCAAATGATCGTACCACCAATAAGCATTATTACCTTATGTTAGGAGCAGCTTGCTTGAAGCAATCTGAAAACACCGGAATCGCGCCGCAGCCACTTTACTTACCGAACTTGGCGCCCTGCGTCTGCTTCCTGTTACCGAAACTAAGAAGACCCTAGAGAGGATGGAGATTTGCCACATTATAGGCAGAGCTTAACACTATACCAAAAAGCGCATATTAAACTGTTTCGGGGATTGGAAAAAGCGCTCTTACGAAAATGCCATATTTGATGATTTGAGTTTTCATTAAAATTAGTGGATTTTCTAGGAAAACAAATTCTAAAGAAAGGGAAAACCTAACCTAACCTAAACCTAAGTGTACATTCTTAGCGTGCTACCTGCAAACTAGCGAAAAGATTGACAACAACTGAGACAAATTTCCGGGGAACACCTATTAACGGATTAAAAATGTGACGACGAATTTAAGTAATTGTAACTTGCTTGTAAAAACAGAATTTTTGCGGAAGGCGAAAGTTAGTTGCGAGAGTCAAAAAGTGAGTGAAGTTAATCGAAAGCGAGTTGTGAGAGTCGAGTCAAGAGAGTTGAATAGCAATATTCGAATGGATAAGACCAGACAGAGAACTAAACTGTTTCTTGTAAATAAGTTATAGATAGATCTGCTAGGAATTGTAACAAAAACATATATCATCTTAAAAATCACTAGTCGACGGTAAGAACTTATTTTGAAAGAAGTTGAATAAAAACGTACTTTCGCAAACCCTGGTGTCAAAAGTAGAATTGTGATTCACAACAAGAGGGACGCTTTAATCCGAAGATCTAATAGTGGAGCAGCTTAAACAGGAGCTGAGGGATGCTGACTTTATAATTGGGCAAGATCGACCATCACTGTCCTACAGCGCAGAGCCTACTATAATTCGTTGCTTATTTATTTACTGTCAAATATATTTTGTCAATAAATTTACTTGAAGGCTGTCGAATAGCTTAGATCATATGCTCGCTTGTATTGAAAACTCTACCGGACTTGAGATTTAAGCTCGCGATCATTGAATTGTTAGTCGCTATATTTTTTCTACTCAGCTAGTTGTTCGTAGCGTACTTAAAAATTATACTTTGTTTTCGTGTAAGCCGTACTTTTCATGGGGCCCTTATGGAGGAACGGGCCTAAAGCATGTACTGCCTTTATTCTCTGACTTATTTGACTTATTCTCATCAGACATTGCTAAAAATTGAACTTTCTTGGCATATAAAGTGTCATCTTTGCCAAGAACCCTTATGTGGAATGGGGTGCACAAAATGAGCAAATGTGATGCGAAGATGATAAAATTTGTTTTTATAACAAATTACTATTAGGGGCGAATTTTGATCGCGTAATATAACGTTCGTAGGGAAAGAACGACGAACAAATCGTCCCCTCCGGTTCAAAGCTTTGCACTCTTGTTTTTCTATCAAGAAATACTGAAAATCACAATTAATTTTTTTTTTTATAAAAGCTGAGCATTCGTTCTCCGGACAGACGGACATATGAGCTATAAGAAATCGAGTCTTCTTTCCGAGTGTTACATACATTCGCACAAATTTAATACACCCTGCAGTTAAACCGACACCAATCAGTTGCGATGAGGGTACAAAAATTGATAAAAGATGCCAGAGCCTATAAATAATAACTTCTTACAGATGTACCTTCGGATATCAAAATTTGGCTTTTCTTAATAAAAATTTATCCAAAATCTCAATTTCGGGGAAATGTTGGCTTTAAGAACTTGAGTATGACGTAATTGGCAGATTCTCATTGCACACATTTGCCTTTCAATGCCTTTCAATCCTTACTTAATGTTAGATTGAATGGAAATGAAACTACTTATTAAACAGGATTTTCAATGGAGGCATTTCAAGATGTCAATCCAATTGACGGGACGAATAGTTGTGTGCAAGTGGTATAATGACTTTAATTGCTGAGTTGCATTTCCATTTCTTGCACATTAAAAAACTTTTTCTTGTTTGTATGATACATACCTTAGTGCATATTCTTGATTCTCTTCATGTTCATTTTGGTTGTGTTTTTCTCATATTCTGTCTCTGTACTTGTGAGAATGTGCTGAAAAGTTATAAAACTGTTTTAAATAAATTTAAAATCTATTGCAATTAATTTTGCAATTTCTGGTTTATTTTTATAAATAGTTTTCTATATCAATATACATAAATTCCATTTTATTTTATTGCATTTCTCGTTACAGAATAAAGGGATTTTCAAAATTTTAATTACATAATATTTAAATAAGCCAGTCAAGTGTTTTGTAACTAATGAATTATTTTTGCTATTATTATTAATTAAGGATACATGTCAGGAATAATTGTGAAAACTTATTTAAAAACAATAAAAAAAACTACAGTGGGCCGCGGCCCGACGTTAGGTACCTTACACCCACTCGTAATTATTCATATAATGGCTTTTCAAAAGAAGGCGTTATGCGGGAACTGGTCGAAGAAGTGATCCGATTCAAACCGTTTTTAATAGTATTCGTCCTTGGGCCAAAACTTTGTAATAAATTTCATAAAAAAGTCTCGCAAAAATTGCGATCTAATGGTTTTGAATTGATCGACGTAGCAGGTCTATCCCCATTCCTATACATCTGCACAAACAAATACATCCTAGCTATCTACCACAAGTAACGTAGCGCATAGAAAAAAAGGTTTATAAACAAATAGATGCATAATATATATTTACATAAAATAGACTGTAATAGAAGTAGAGTATGTGACTGATATTCATTTAATATATACTACGCTATGAAGACTAATATCAGAGGAAGAAAGCATTATATGCCTTTTACAGTGACTGCTTGGATGCCCTTTGTAAAATATTACTGTGAACTTGATTTTTGGAAACCTTTAAAAGCTGATTTCGTATATAAAATATCGGACCTAACCTACAAACATATATATATGATATTCATTTCAGCTACTTAACCAATTCAGTTGAGTCAGTTGCTGATGAGAGGGGAAGAGGGAAACAGAGAGAGAGAGAGAGAGAGAGAAAGAGAGAGAAAGAAAGAGAGAGAGAAAAAAACACAACTCTCGATAACCAATTAAAAATAAACTGACAGTCAGTCATTGTTCTTTCAGAGCAGGTGCGTACCGCCTTTCTATTGACATTGAACAATACGAAAAATATAAGTTCATATATAAATAGTATAACAGCAAACCTAATAGCGCTTATCAGTATTATAAACTTAATAGCATAACATTAAAATAAATTCATGTAAATTTAACAAAAGTACCTAACCGCAGCCGAAAAGAATTATCAGTTGGTTTTTCATAGTTTGTATGAAAGAAGCGAAAAACGATTAACTATATGAAAGCGTTTCCCTATTCTTAATTGCGAGCATGGTCGTTTTATCAGAAGAAATGCTTCAGACTATCTATAATGTATGCATATATCGTTGAGCATTATTAAATTTTGAACCAATCTAGGCGTATTCGTCTGTCTGCCTATCCTTCGTTGTTTTCGCTATCGCAAAAACTACGATATCTGCTTCAAAATTGGGCAAAATCAATTGACGCTTTCAAGTTCGTTTAGTCGGTCACAGGGCAAATCTGTAGAACAACTAAAAACGGAACATGTCGGCTGTTCGATACTTTGTCTAGATATCTAAATACATTTTATTGATGAACTCACCGTATCTTAACGAAGTATAAACATTAATCGGCCAAGTCTGTTCAATACTATAAACTATCGAAATTTAATTTTTTTTGTTTTTTTTTTGTTTTTTTTGGGTAAAGCTGATGGATGTTAAAGATTCGGTTACAGTTGAGTACGATTTTGGTTGCAGTTGTTCTTTTTTTAATTGAGTAAAATAATGCCAGGATTCACAATACATTCAGTGAGTGTTAGTGTACTACTCTTAGTTTAATTTTAAGTGATTAAACTGCTTAAATAGCAGTTGTGATCTGGCATTTTTAGGACTTTTTCCATTTAACCGATTATTTAACAAAAACTATATATCTTTAATATCATATTTGTATGTGTAGGTAATAGAAAAAAAGGAAAAGGAAATATGAAAGACGCTACGTTTTGGGGAACTCTATGTCAACCATTTGTAATTATAATAATATAATTATACAATGGAAGATATTACGTAATGTATTAAGTATATGTAAGCATCACTGTTATATTGCTTACAAGACCGTTACGCTGCTAAATGCAAACCATTGCCAGCTTTATATAAAAACGTAACAAATGCTTAATGCCAAATATCGTTGTAACCTTCTAAACGAACAAGGAATGAACTTAGGATCAGGTAATGCGGAAAATCTTTTGTTTTCGCGATGCTTTGCTTCTTTACATGTTATGAACAATACGTCTTTTCCGTATCCTAATACTAGAGTTAGTTGACCAATCTATCATACAGCCTTGTAGCTTATATCATATGGTAGTCTTAATAGAATTAATGACCAAAATCGAAGAAATAAAATAAAATATTAGTTGCTTGCATGTACTTTGATCAGTCACAACTATTGGCAAAAATGACACAGTTATATACAGTATCAATATAGACAATGATTAAATTCAATCCTTTTGAAAAAAAAGCGTTATGGAGCTACTTGGACAATCTCAAGGGCAACAAGTTATGCGTTAGTCTAGCAGTGCCACCGACATTCCTTTTATCAGCAAGTTACTATTATCTAACTTCATCGCGACATTTTTACTCGGCCAGTCCGTTAACCCATTTTTCCGCAAAAATTTTCTGCCAATTGTTGTCAATCGTTTCGTCAGTCGACAACTGCACGATGCAGACAACCATAAATTTGTATTTGCTATTCTCTTTCTTTAGAATTAAATCATTAAATAAGCAGAATATTTGCGAAAGAGAAAAGTTAGTTGCGAGAGTCGAGTCAAGAGTCGTTGAATAGCAATATTCGAACGGGCGGAACCAGAAGAGAATTAAAGCGTTGTCAACATAAGTTCCTGTCAATAATTTGTAAATAGAAATAAAAGTGAAAGTAAAACACTTACTATACCTATACTATTCAGTGGTACGAACTTAATTTCATCACAAGTCAGGTAAGAACGTAAAATTACGAAAAACCGTTTACCTCCCAATATATATTGTGCCACCACCTTTCAATACATAGCTTCCAATACATAGCTTCCAATATATATTGCGCCACCTAATATATGAGTTTTACAGGATTTCCACAACCTAAACGCCTTAAGATGAAACTTTCAGTTTGAGTAAGAGAGAGCGGATTAGTAGCTTAATTCCTGATTGCCATCTACTCCAAATTGTTGGTTCGATATGATTTAAAATCGTGTGAGTTAGCGGATATTATTATCAATTATTATTATTAATATTTTCAAGGGCGTTTATAGATTTCTGTGTGTGGTTTTTTCCACATTAATTAATCATTTACATAATTATCATAAAAAACTCAACCGAGTGTTACGATTTTACACAAATTTTTTGCTACTTCAAAACTGGCAGAGAGTCGAGCAATGAATCCGCAGATGTGATCACGCCTTAGGTGGACTCTTCCTCTTGATCAAGAATATTTAAGACTTGCTAATACTGCCACGACCGCCATTACTGTATTACACGTACCTAGAACATTCTCATGCAGTGATTGGTCATATCAAAAAAAAAAAATAAAAAATAAAAAAAAATAAAAATAAATAAATAAATAGCATTTACAAGGAAACTCATTATGCGGGCGAATAATGTTCCCTTTAAAACAGTAAAGTGAACAAATATGCAGCACAAGATGATCAAAATCAGTTTATTCTGCCAACTTTAGAGAAGAAAAAAAATTCATTTATTTGATGTTAACTAATTGCGTTAATATAATGATGCTACAATGAGTTAATCGAGAATTCGATATGTAAAGGAAAATAAAACGAAAGAAAGATTTTGTAAACATAACAAATTTCCTACATCAGCGCTTCTTTTTGAAGCTTTTAGAACTTTATTTTGGCCATTAGCCTGCTGCATGAGCATACAAAACTCGTAGTTAGAGATTAGTCTAAATTTTATTATACGTAATCTAATCTATTGTATGGTATTGTAGTCCTTTCATTCATTTATGGGCACATATTAGAGAAAATTGTGTATAAAATCTACTTGAATATTTTGTGTGGCATATTTACAACTTTGTCTGAGCATCTTGTTAAATACGTTTTGGAATATATATATATATATATATATACATATACTCTTACGCACAATTTGTTGCCCGAAGTTATAGGAAAACATTAGGCTGTTACGTAAACCATACACCGCTATTTATATATATATATATTTATATATATAAATGTGTATTTGTATTGCATATGCGCATACAAATGTTAGGTCTGCAAATAAATGCCCCGCCTAAAAATTTGGAGTTTTATAAACTCGGTTGCATTCAGTTCTCCCACTATGTTACATATAGAAAACTTGAATATGGTTGCTTTCTTACTAGGTGAGCTTCAGATGTTTAGAAGCTATCGTTCAGTGTATATCAAAACGCGAATAGGTGAATCTCAACTAGCAGCATTGAAAGTATTGATTTCTTTTTTTGTGTTTCTAATGGGCTTACGTTGGACAAAAATGCAGTTGAACTTGTGGAATAATTTATTTTGAAGTGAAAATGCAATTAAGCTACAGAACATTTAGAAAGTGAGCTACGTGACTTTGTGGCGAAAATTATTGTCTTGGAAAGAACAAAATTCAAAGCAACCGAGGACTAAAGTGATCTTTAACTTGAGTTGAAAACTTCCCCAGTACGCGAATTATTCTCTTGATTTCTCTCTTTCTGATTACTATCGGTGCAGATCGGTGCAGATCGGTGCAGATTTAGCAAAGCAATAGCTCTGCAAAGTTGTCTCTTTCTGATTACTATCGGTGCAGATCGGTGCAGATTTAGCAAAGCAATAGCTCTGCAAAGTTGTCTCTTTCTGATTACTATCGGTGCAGATCGGTGCAGATTTAGCAAAGCAGTAGCTCTGCAAAGTTGTATATGTTGCGAAAACGGGTTAAGTCACCTCTGAGCTACGGTGTTTCCACTATGAGGGCACCCGTAAGCTACCCGATAAACGGCAAAAGACCGTAAATATTGATG